CTCCCCCTGCTTGTGTTCCTGCTCTCGCTATGTCTCTTCTGTCAAAAAAATAAAAAAATAAAATCTTTAAAAAAAAAAAAGATTGTATTTTTAAGTAATCTCTACATCTAACATGGGGCTTGAGCCCACAACCCTGAGATCAAGAGTCACATGCTCCACAGACTGAGCTAACCAGGTGCCCCTGGGATCCTGAGTTAGCGATTTATTTGATAAAAGCAAAAGGTACAACCCATAAAAATGATAAACTACTTCAAAATTAATTTGCTTTTCAAAAGATACCATGGGGGGGCCTGTGTGGCTCAGTCAGTTAAGCGTCCAACTATTGATATTGGCTCAGGTCATGATCTCAGGGTTGTGGGATCAAGCCCCACATCCGACTCCAAGCTGGGTATGGAGCCTGCTTAAGATTCTCTCTCTCTGTCTCTCCCTCTCTTAAGAAAAAAAAGACACCATGAAAACAATGAAAAAGGAAACCACAGACTGAGAAAATATTCACAACATAAATTTTGCAAATATGTATGTGAATGCGAATACATACAGGTCTGATAACAGACTTGTAACTAGACTATATGAAGAACTCTTAAAACTCTAATAATAAGACAACAGCTTGATTTTAAAAATGGGAAAGAGATTTAAACAGACACCTCATTTCATCTCACAAAAGAAGATATATGGATGACAGCTAAGAATAGGAAAAGATGCTCAACATCATTTACATAAGGAAACACAAATTAAAACTAAAATAAGATCCTACTACACACCCACCGGAATTATTTCAATTCAAAAGTTGGACTCTACCAAGTGTTGGTGAAGATGTGGTGCAACGGGAACTCTCATAGGTAACTAATGAGAATACAAATGTTACAAGCCACTTTGTAAATTAGCTTAGCAGTTTCTTATAAAGTTAAGCATTTACTTACCAAATGATCAGGTAGTTCCACTTCTACGTATTTATCCAAGAGAAATGAAAGCACACGTCCACACAAAGATTAGGACTTGAATATCCATAGCAGCTTTATTCACAATAACTACAAATTAGAAATATGGGAACAACCTAAGTGTGCACCAAAAGATAAATAGATAAACAAAATGTGGCATATTTACACAACAGAATATTATTCAGCTGTAAAAATGAAAGAAGTTCTGAAACATGCTACAACATGGGTGAAACCTGAAAACCTTATGCTAAATGAAATAAGCCAGACACTGAAGGACAAATACTGTGTGATTTCGCTTATATGAAATATCCAGAGTAGGCACATTCATAGAGACAGAAAGTAGATTAGGGGTCACCAGGGACCGGGAGCAGAGGAATGGGGAGTTATTGTTAAATGGTTACAGAGTTTCTGTTTGGGGTGATGAAAGAATTTTAGGAATATATAGTGGTGATGGTTACACAATATTTTGAGTGTAATTAATGCCACTACATTGTTAAAATAACAAATTTTATGATATATACATTTTACCATGATAAAAAAAATCAGTTAAAAAATGAGAAATAACTCAAATGTTCATCAATAAGTGAATAAATAAATTGTGGCATATCCATGCAAATGAGTACCTCCATGAGGCAACAAAACAGAATAAACTACCAATACATGCAACCATATGGATGACTCTCAAAAGCATTATGCTAAGTGACAGAAGCCAGAGACAAACCACTACAGAAACAATCATACAGACTACTCACTGTATGATTCTATTTATATGAAATTCTAGAAAAGGCAAACCTAGTGATAGGAAGCAGATCAGTGGCTACCAGGGCTAGGGAATGGGAGAGGGGATCAATACAAGGGCATTAGGAAACTTGTGGAGGTGATGGAGATGTGTTCTGTGTCTAGATTCTGGTAGTGAATATGCAACTAAATGTATTGACAAAACTCATCAAACTGGGCTCTGAAAATTGGTCAATTTTATTGTGCTTTAATTATACATCAATGAAATGGATTGCAAAATTAAATGTCTCATCTAGGTAAGTTGTAAAATGCCTCCTCCACACTTTTACTTATAACCATTTCTCCTTTTTACATTTTCACTGATACATGAACTTCTTGTCGTTTTTCTTTATTATTTTTTTAAAAATTTTTATTTATTTATATATTTATTTTCTTGTCATTTTTCTAAACATGAATTACAATAGGGTTGGTGATATTTGGGTAGACTTGTGTCAGTATGGACCTGAAAAAAATCAGTGCCTTGACATCCCCAAGAAGTTGATTGTTGCTGCTTTGTGATTCAGGTCTGTCTGACCTAAGACTCTTAACACTCCCCTCCCAACACATTACTTTGCACGTAATCAGAAAATATGTGTGAACCAGAGCCCCCATCTCTCTTTTACACATCTACATCCAAATATATATGTAATAAAATATTTCAGAGTTTGGAGAATTAAACATAGTGTATATATTTGTACTTATAAGCCGTATGAAAAATTAAACAACACCCATGTAAATGGGACCAGCTTACAAAACAGGTCGTTACCACTAATATTACTGAAGATCTACGTATGCCTATCAATCCTACT